GTGGTGGATGGTATCCCCACTCCTGTTCTGGGAGAATGCATGAAGATCATTCGGCAAAAGGGAGCTGATTGCGAAAGAAACTTCCTTAGGGCACTCCTGGAACTATATCAGGATATGCCATTGGTTGTACCAAATATGGAGTCGAGCGACATGGAGAGCTATCGCAAGTTGGAAGAAGTGAGAAGGTATTCCAACAAGGAGTTGAAAGTGAGCCGGGAACTGATTGAAGCAGTCGGGGGACAGAAAGACTTTGCAACACTAGGGAAATTGAAGTCGTTCCAAGATGTGTCTGGCATACCGGGGATGGCGTATAATCCCTTCGTGAGTGAAGAAGCCAGGGAAGCGTACTTAGACTATGAGCAAGTCATAGTGCTCAGTTTCTGGAACGAACGAATCAAGGAGACCGGAATGCTGATGGTGGAACAACCCAAGCTGGGAATCATTCTAGAAGAACGAGTGGTCGAACCCTCGGTTCCTGAGCTGAAGGGGCAAGTGAGTTTTGATTGTGGCTCTTGGGACTGTCCCATGAAAACCAGCCTGGTGGCCATGTGGGAACTCATGAAGCCTTCTTGGTGTCCCTATCCTAATGTCGGTTTAATCTGGGACATGACGGCGGACATCGCGTTAGATCTGGATGACGACACGAGTCTACATGATCTGGCCATGATACACCATCTGCTGGCCATGAGGGTAATGAAGCGGAAGAGCAACCCATCCACGGAGCCATCCGAGGAAAGTCCATCAAGCAATTGGTTGAAGCGAGGTATCTGTTTAGCTCAACATAGTGGGATGGAAGGACATGTTTGCAACTTGGGACACTGCCTGATTACGCTGAGTGGAAGATTGAGCATGTCGGAAAAGAGTGGCATGGAGTTGGTCGCGGACTGTCATGGGGTGACGGAGGTAAATTTGACCACGGCTTTGGGATTATGTAGCATGACAAGTTCGATAGAATCACTTGAACGCTTAGAACGTGCCCATGAGCTAGTGACGTCCCTGAGTGTGGATGTGTTCCCTGGAGCATTGCAGACAGAGCAGAAGATTGGAGGCTGGCGAGAAGCTCTGGATAATGAAATTAATCTGAAGGATAGTGAGGCCTATCATAGATCTACTGGTTCAAAATATCTGGTGGGTTCAAGTTCCGCACCATATTGTAATAGTAGGTATCCTACGCACATGGTGGTGATGGATGCGAGGACGCAGCAGGTGTTGATTGATCATTTGTTCTCTGTGCCAAATTGCGTGAGGTTGGCCAGAATGTCGGAAAGGTCATATGATTTGTTAGCGAAGAACTTTCGGGCAGTCCCGAAAAGATCTGAAGGCGAGTTGCAAGACGTAGTGGGTGAATAGTTCATGGGGTTGAACGAAGATAATGTGAGCAAGTTCCAGAAGCAGAAAGCGAGTGGAGCGTTACCCACTGAAATCCCCACCATGGAAGAGAAAGACGATTTGCACAGAATTATGATGGAAGTGGAACCGTTGCTGGGAGCCTCAGGGTATCGGAACCGAGGGAACATATTGAGGACCCATGGGGAGTATCCTTGTCACTGCTTGGCGCAGACGTTATGATACCCCAAACGGGGGAATATGATGTTAGTATGGGACGTTGAGGAGTTGTACTCTACGGGGTTACCCGATCAAAATCAACAGGTGTCAATCGTGGTGTTTAGTGCCATGCTGGCAGTGAGGTGGTCGGAGGCTAACGCGCACACAAGTGGACAGGAGACGGCCGTGCCGACTCCTGAACAGCTGAGTAACGTAAGAATGAGCCGCAAACTGGATATTTTCAGAACCACCTGCAAGGTTCTGAGAATACCCAGAGCCAATGAAAGAATATGGTCAAGGCAAAGATTGATGCCTTGGTTCCGTGCAGTGATGACGTCACGGATGTATGAACGCGCGAAGCGTCACATGTCAAGGAACACGGAAGCATATCAATCTTTCCAGCTAGATATAGGACCGGGAGCCTATAAGAGAGCATTTCTGACGCACAGAAACGCGGTCACCACGGCGGTGAAGCGAGTGGCTGGAGCGCCTTGTGTAACTGAAGATGAAAAGAAAGAGGTCTTACGAGCTGACCTAGAACGGAATGTGAGCCTGTGTCTCCACAGCAGCTTTTGAAGGAACCGGGAACAAAAGGTGAATATGGACTTGCTACCTTGTTGTAAACCGAGGCTGTTGGAACAGGAGAGTTGGGGCACGGCCCGCAACTCTATGGACATGTTAGAAAAAGTTCTGGAAGATAGTGACGCTGAAGATCAGGATGGAGAAGCAATAGAATGAAGATGATGGAACGAAGAGGATAAGTGAAGACGTAAACGAGAAAGGAAGAGAAGGAGAAAAAAACTTGATTGTCTTAGTGAGTGAAAACTTGAACTAATTAACCAAGTTTGATTATTGAACTTGTTAAACTTTTTGTTTTCATCTAGTTTGGTCAGAACAAACTTTGAAAAATGTTACAATTGTTAAAATTGTTGAAATTGTTGATTTCAGTTCTGACTATTTATATATATATATATATATATATATATATATATATATATTATATATATATATATATATATGGAGGATATAGGTGAGTATATTTACCTAATTAAACACGTCTGAAGTTTTTAACCTGTGTAAGACACAATTTCACTGTGTGGCGACGTGGTAAGTTTGGGTAAGCTCGCTCGGAAAGGGTGAGTAACTCAATAACTTTCCTAGCCACAGAGTTTCTTAGTTTTAATATTGAAAGGACCGCATAAATGACTGATTATACTTGGTGAGTAACGTTAAGTTAATTTTAACGGGTGCGTGGCCGTGCCACGTCCCAATTTTTTAATCACAAAGAGCGAAAAGAAGTTTTATGGCAAGATGACGTAAGTAGTAAGAAACGAAATTTTATCTAGGACACTTGTCATGGTGCAAATTTTGTGAAAATGTTAGAAGGCAGTGAAGTGTAGTATGATGCCATTTGTGACACGTGGTGAGTTGAGGTGGAGTAAATAAATTTCATTTTCTGATTCGATTTGTAAAATCAATTAGAGAGAACTGGAGTACCACTTGACGATAACCCGGTGTTATGCGATCAATGGGGACATTGATGGGGGACTTGTCCGGGGAGTATGTGCTATTCTGCCAGATGGGCACAGCGCAACCTTTCGGCGACACAGAAAAAGACGACTAAAGGTCTTAGTGACAAAAAAGTGCTGCGAAGGAGGGTCTAGATATTCCGGAAATTTAAGTTTTTTAATTTTCGATTGACGGGCAAGTATTTCTGAGAAATACGAAAAACGGCCATTTTGACGAAAAAGAACGAAAAAAAAACAGAACAACGACAAATATAGTGGAAAACGGTCGCACGAGATAAGATCCTTAGCCGTGGAAACTAGTGGAGAAGGAAGCTTCAGTGGGAAGGAATATTCCACGGAACCCTCCCGTGCCACAAATTGGGAGAGATAACAGCGTTATCTCAAGAAGAACACGGGAGCGGAGGCTTGGCCCCCCAAAGACTGTTGTATGTTGAAGCACTATACAAAACTAACTTTTAGCCATTCGTATGCTATAGAACTTTGAATTAACACCGGGATAATTTGATATTTTGGAATATGAGAAGCTAGAAAGAGGAAAGGGTCAATCCATCTCCAATGGATTTAATATAGAACTGTCACACAAAAACATAATAAAATAGGGTGTTCTTGCCGTGTTTTTAATAGCAATCACGTAGTCTGAGGATCCGAGGCTCAGCTATGTGGTTGTGTTCGCATGTAAACGAAAGCTGATCAAAAGTCGTTTGACTGATGGCCTAAAAATAGTAACTTTTTACTTAGCCCTAAACAGACCAGAAAATCAACTGGCAAGGTCAAGACGGTGAAAAACGAGTAGGGTTAAGGCAACTGACGCCTGCCAGTCGTTAATAGGTACTTTTTCTACGCTACGTCGCTGTGTAGTATTTGGGCGAATGTTACAATCATAACTGTATCTAGTCAAAAAAGTTTCACGGAAAAAATTAAGTTTTCTCAGAAAATGTTGAATCAATTGATCTTTGATTTATTCGTTTACCGCAGTTAGTAAAGAAACTCAAGCGAATAAGTAGACAAATTTCTCATTTCTGTTAATAAAGCGATTTTTGCTAAAAAAAACTACTACAGTTTTACCCCGACAACTTTAAACACCTTGTTTCGTATCTCAATTTGAATAAAAGCGCGATTTGAAAGAAGTATAAAATATAAATTTGAATAAATATTGGAATATTTCAGAAAGTTTTTTTTCGGGTCATTAAATTCATTTTTTTTTTCGTGTTAGTCTGTTTAATGACGAGTATGAAATGGAGGTGCTCTGCTTGCCGACCTCACACCATTTGAATCCTACTTGAATCGAGCAAGTAGCCGAGCTCAAACTTAAGTTTTCAAAATATGAAAAGTATTTGGATTGTTTGTAACTTAAACAAAGTTATGAGTTAGTTATGTTTGAATAGAAAAAGATGTGATGCTCAACTACTAGCCAGAAAAATTGCCGAAGACAACTTGAGTGACATCGAGCAAGAAGGGGATGACTTCTCAGATGGAAGCGAAATGGAAGACGAGGTCTCTAAGAGAACCGCGTTCAAAACCTCTGGTTTGTGCAGCTACTCTTCAATTCCTCGGAAACAGCATAAAACTCCCAGGGTACTTCCTAGTGACTGAAAAAGGCGACAATAGTCAGTGTTCAAATTAAAATGACCATTCGTGTAGTCCTAACTGTTTTAGCTCATGCTATCTGAATCTACTGTATCTCAGTTGCAGTATCTCAGGTTCGAGTCAATTTGAGACAAGAGTTTGACAAAAGTTGTACAGATTTTATCATGATATCATTTTCAGGGATATTGCACTGCATGGACAAAGTTCGGACTGCGAGCGCAATATGAGTTCGAATCAGCGCTGCCCTATGGTAACCGCCATAACACAAAATATGGTACAACCACCAAATCCAATCACATACCACCTCACTTAATAAAACTAGGAGAATACACTGATGAATTGATTCACTGATTGAGTTGCTGTTTACCCAATAAATTTGTTTTAGACTTCGTAGCATAAGCTTTCTGAATTTCGATGATCTGAATATTTATTTTTATCTTACACAATTTTGGATTGTGTATACAGTCCACCAGAGACCAAGTATTACTGCGTTGATTTTACTCTGTTGGAATGGACATCCATTTCTAGATTGCGAGGTGAGTCGCTACTCTTAAGAGAAGTTACAACTCTGCAGGTAATGACAATAAAAACGAACGTTCTTATTCGGGGATGGTTCTAAGAGATGTGGTTTCAGACGGAGTTCAAATTTTTCTGGCTGCAAACAAAGTTCCAAGAGAACCCAGAAAACACCAAGAAATCCAAATTCAACCGCGTGAGTCTCATATAAAAACATTTTAAAATAAAATGTAGAAAAAGAGTTACTCTAAAGCAAGGTTTTTCTTTAGTCGCCATTTGAGATTCTACCTTATTTTCCTTGCACATCGGAGGGAATTTTGAATGTTGTCTCCTATTTTCCACCAGAAAGAGTAAGTATCTAACTGAAAGTTTTAAGTGTACAAAACGAAGTGATTGTAAATTATATTATATATGTGATGATTTTTTGCAGGAAAAAGCCTTTAAATTTGTTCACGCTCAACAGATTTTTCTTGGATTTTTTAAAAAAGTTTCGTTCATTTCTTGTGTTTAAAGGAAAATAAACTCCAGAATAGAAAAGCGACAGTGTAAATGTAGAGAAAAACGTGAATGACTTCTAATTTCAAAATGGATTTAGATTTTGAGCGGAAAAAGTTATCATTCGATCCACTTTTTCTCTAAACACCAGTGCTTAAAAAATGTCAATCTTACCAGGGTGACCACTTGGTCTGTAATTACAGACCGGTCTGTAAAGTCTGTTTTTTACATTGGTCTGTATTTTATTGCTGGGCAAAGTTTTCATTGACATTCTGCTTTAATCAGGGTTCCTACCAATGTTAAATATGTTTCAGATATGCCATGTGTCTTCTCTCAGCAGATGCGAGAAAAATACCGATGGGCTGCGGCTGTGCCCGGTCGGCCGGAACAGGCAAAGTGCTGGTTAGACGGGAAGTTGATCAGTGTGCGCAATGGTGCGATTCAGTTGGGGAAACATGAGAAGCAGAAAATCCATATCGATGCTGCAGCGGCGCTTCCTAGACACCCTTCTATTCGAAACTCGCTGGTCTCCGCTGTTGACGACGACTCAGGGCGTTTGAGAGCCACATTTTACCACGTTGTTCGAATTGCTTTGGATGGTGGCTCGTTTCGAAGCAGTGACTGTGTGTCCGGAAAGCGTTCTTTGTATTCGGTGATGTTTCCAGATTCGCGTTTTGTCAAAATTTGTTGTGGGCGAACCAAGGCGCGATATTTGCTTGTTCACGCACTGGCACCATTCGCCCGTTCCGAGGTCATTGATATGTTGAAAGGGAATTTATACTGAATACACGTGGATGAAAGCAGTTATCACAACAAAGTGAGATTGGAATTTTAGGTCGTTCATTTCGACCACTCAAACGAACGTAGACCGCGGTACTTGTCAACCATTTAGCTAAACGTTCAGTTTGATATTGACGAGTTTTTATCTTCGCCATCGAACACCCAGTCATTGCAGTCGCTGAGGTTGGTAGACCCCAAATATGTTGTCACTTGAAGGATGTGGATGTCATCAGATGAATCTTCTCCAGAAAAATGAACTAAAATTCGATAAAGTTAAATCAATTGTGTTATTCGCGGAGAAAATTTCCAATTTTCTGGACAACAAGCCAAAGGTTCAGTCGCTAATTCAACAATCGGAGAGCCTGCTAGGGCTGAATCGCATCAGTGACTACTGTCCCACCAAATTTCTCTCTTTGTTTACCGTTTTGGACAGCGTATGCCATCAGTTTCCATTGCTCAGAAAAATTATTAATTCTTCAAACGACCGAGAGTTACTGTCACATTTCAAAGACAAGACATTTGTTGTCCACCTTGACCAATTTAATGTGCACACAACCCCCATTTATTCGTTCACCAAAGAGGTTCAAACTCCTTCATTGAGTTTATACGGTTGCCTTGGGATACTCCAAAACGAACAAAGGGGAATTAATTCCCGATCAGATGACATTTCAGCGAAGATTGTAAACGTGATCTTGAAATAATCATTTTGTTCTTTTTTGTTGTAATTTAAACTATCATTCGAAATAAATTTTTTGTGGAATACTAGTTTTCGCTTCGTATTCAGGCTAGTCTGTATTTTTTCACGCCCGAAGTGGTCACCCTGAATCTTACACAAATCTGGAAATTCAACATTCTTAAATGTGATAGTTTTCTTCGAAACTTGAAAAAAATTCAAAACTTTTCAATCCAGTTTTTTCGGTTTCCTTAGATTTTTTGCTTTTCCAACCGTCTGTAGGCTATGTTCTCGTATCGAGCTAGTTTTAAAAATTATGTTGATCATAAAATATTATTGCAATTTAGAGTGCTTCAACCTGAAAATTTCTAAAGCGCAAAGAAAAGTCTATTTTTGTCGGTTGTTTTAGTTCATTGACATTTTTCAAACTATATTGAGTTCATTGACATTTTTCAAACTGTATGTTGTCTGTTTTTTTTTGCATCATTTTTTTGTCTTTGTAATTTCAGTTCTAATTATCCCGCTGCAAGTTACTATTGTATCAATAGTAATTTTTTTCAGCTGGATGGGTTATGGTTTTTTCACAAGCAGACACACTATCATTTGGGAGTGACTCCTCTAGTAGGCTGGCTCAAACCCCATATGGTCCCAGAAGTTTTCAACGTATAAGTGCCTCTTCATTACTCAAAAGAGCAGGCGCAGATCAACAAGCAAACAACAAAACAGAAGAAAAGATATTTCGGAGACGCAGAAAGTGGAGAAATTGATAGTTCGAAACAGTCACAAATTCTGTCTAAAGAGGACAAACGGGCTATGCATACCAATGCAAATCATGCAAATATGACAAATAGTTTCGCTGCTAGAGCTAAAATTAAGCTGAAAGATGATTTAGACGAAGGAGAAATAGTTGAAGACGACGAAGATCCGTTTGAAACTCCTGGAAGTGTACGAATGCAAATGAGCAGTGACGTCGCTGGAAGTAGTAGTCAAGATTATGACCAGATGATGTGACAAGTCGGTGAATGAGACTTTAACATGAACTCGAGAGCGAAAAGTGATTTTTCTAGCGACTGGTAATTTGTCTAGTTGCTGATTGTTGAATATGCCTTTTTGTTACTTTCTGTAATTTGGATAAAAAAACTTTCACAAACTGCTTGTTGTTCCACCTTGTGTTTGGGCTAAATGAACAATCTAAGCGTGAGTTGCTTGAAAGTACAGAGAACAAGAAAATGTCCACACAACCAAGGATGTTAGTACACTTTTTGCCCGCAAATTAGCATAGAAGAGATCTCTGCTAAAAATCTCAATTTAGTATCTGTAAAATGTTCGTGACTAGTTGTGCAACCGAATCTTCGAACTTTCGTTCGACGAGAAACCTTCGAAGGCTCTCACGAACATTCGGTCCTATTTCCAAGTCTCACTACTTCGGTGAGGAAAATTTTCTGAATAACATGTCGAACACCCCGTCTCAGCGTGTTTTAGCAGTGCTGCAAACGTTTTACCCAAGAGAAGGGCTTCACTTACTGGAGATTGAGTAAACATGCGAAATATTCTGCTTCAAAATTCAAATGATTTCAATTAGTAATTTTAATTTTTTTCAAGAATACGGAAAATCCAAGGAAATATCGAACTTTCGATGAATGTTCGAATGTTGATGACCAACGTTTGAAGACTATTTTTGTACCAACTTTGCACGACTAAACGTGAGTGTCATCTGCATTTGTTATACAATTTTTTTTAACAGCTTCAGTGTTGTTCTGTGTTTGAATAGCCATGAAATTATACCTTTAAGCTATAGGTTGGATCTTTGAATCGTTAGGCGGCAAGTTTTTGTCTTATAACATTTCACTGATTGTAGCGAAGACACCTATATAACAAGTAGGAAAAACCTGGAAAAAATTAGTTTCTAAGAGCGCAAATTTGATTTTGTGGTTTGATTTTGATTTCATTTAAAGTTAATTCTTTAAAGAAAGAAATTTGAGCTATTGAACAGCAAAAGATGAAAGGTCAGAAGAAATATGAATGAATTCAAAATGGTTTTTCTTTTTCGGAAATCCCCGCGGAATGAAAAAAGTTTATCTATTAATCCTCTTCTCTCAAATCGGGTTAGCATAAAAACAGTCCATCATAAAATGTCTCGAAAATAGTTTCTCTTTATTTTTTCTTTACACAACGAAGCGTAGTGTATTATTACGGTGCATTTTTTTAAAACCTAAGTCGCAAATAAAAGCGCTCCTGTTGGCCCTTTTGGTATATTCGAATGTAATCATAATTATTCCAATTTAAACTTAAGCAATATAATAGTAATGCTGTTTCTTTTTTTTAGCTAGTGTTAGGTCCTGATTTAAAAAAAAAAATTATGAAAGCCGATGTAGACTTCGGGAATTTTTTCAGCAATTTGTGCCGTTTTTTTTAAACTAGCAATTTCTGATATTAAGGGTTCAGTTTAAAAAATCAAGGCGTGGAAATTTTCCCTGCACAAGCAGCTCCTACCATGTTTTAGAGGAGGAATGTTTATTGCTACAGAAAAGGTCAAATTTTTAATTTTTTGATCATTTTTTGGATTTTTTCGAAAACTATCCAGACAAATCTGAAATAAAAATCAATTAAAGTTTTCTTCTTTAAATAAACAGCTAGTCTCCTACTTGAGCAGAGAAATTACTAGGCGTGTGCGTGAAGTCCATTTTTTTGAAATTTTGAAAACTAGGAATTTCTGTATCACTACAGATTATGACTAAAAGTATTAAAACAGGTACATCCAGCATTAGCTGGGCCACTAGTTCACATCCAAGTGACCGTGGCGCAGATCCGAGGACGCGAGAGACACTTCTAATCATCGGGTTGGAGATTCAAATCCGAAATATTGAAAACGTTTTGTTTTTTTTTTGCTCATTGTTTTTCTATTGTTTCCCAAGGTTTATTTTTTCCTTAAACTTCTTTTTCCTTATTTCACTGTTTTGCCTGCTTAGAGCTCTTTTTTGCATTTTCTTTGCTTGTTTTTGCAAATCGCCGCTTCGCCTTTGTGTTGAAGTTCTAAGCTTGGAGTTTTTGGTTAATGAAAGCGGGTGTTTTTTCGGTTTCGCTGCGTTCATTGACACATCTCAAATTTCGGTGGCTGGTTTTTGCATTAACAGTGCTACTTGACCTTTGTGTTACACTTGCCAGAGGAGGTATATTGCTATCGGGAACCAGACTTTTTATAGTCAACAAGTTTTTAAAAATTTAAGGTGAACATTACTGAGTGCGTGTCTGCCTTGAATAAATCAAGTCTTCGGAATTGTTTGTCTGCCTATTTTATGTCGGCGCAGGCAGTTCGCTTTATGTTTTTTCGCTTCGAAAGTGGCCTCGTTTCGAAAGTGGGATTTAATTTCACGATTTGTCAGTGAAATTAAAAAAATTTGTTGATCCATTTTATCAAAAGGTGTTATTTTTATGAATTTGGATGAAAATGCCAATCAAAATAGATTTTTGGAATTAAAAAAATGTTGCCGTGATAGGTTGTTTCTACAAGTATTGGAATTTTAAATGTTTAAAAAAAAAACGCGATAGTTTGTTTTCGCGTTACTTGAATTCATAGGCACTTGTCGAACTTTCTGTTGGCTGTTTTGTACTTCTTGGTGCTCGAATTAAAATTGTCGGCTGTACACAGTAAAACTTGGTCGGTTTCATAAGTACAAACTGCTTTTATGTGAGTGAGAAGGCCGATGTAAAAGCTTAAAAAAAAATAAAAATTTTGCAAAGTTACTATTGTAAACTGTTTCTGTTAGTTTTCGAATTTTCGGATTGAACTTTGGAGTCTTCGGATGGCCATTGGATGTCGGCTGCAAACATGTTAGCGTATTAGTTCTAGAATTTTTAAATTTTGTCATGTTAATTTCCGTTTGAACTAACAAAAAACAAAGTCAACAGAGTGAAGCCTTCGAATAAAAAAATGTTATCAGAAAATTTTGGGAAATCTTATTGGAAAAACACAAAACCTTGAATGGCGCTCTTTTAAAAGATGGTTGCCGTATTGCTTTTTTGCATCAAAATTGTTTTTCATTGCCTTGTTAATCAATTACGGTCATGATCACTTTTTCATTATTTGGTCTGTTATTACCCTTGCGATAAGCAAGGATTTTGCAATCGGCTACTAGACTTGTTTCCCGTAAAAACTTTGTCCACAGGAGCACCTCCAGAGGATCACTCGATCACTTCCAGAGATTCTCTCGTTTTTTAAAAACAACTTCATTTCTAGAGAATCCTCTGACTTGCTCAATTTCTTGAAAGTTCAAATAAAAGTACTTCAAGCCGGTTTCAGCTTAAAATTATCTTTTCAAAAATTTTTCGGGTGTTTGGTTTCTGTCGGTTTTATAAGATTAGTCATTCATCCGGTTTAGTATCCTTTTTTTTTAAAAAAAATCTGTCAACCATCCGGTGGTATCTGGAGTGGATAACACAATTTCTTGAGACGGCAAAGGCTTATGGTTCGAATTCGGCTGGGATTTTTTTTCGGCAAACTGCTTTAATTTCTTTTTTTTTTATAAAATCAGTCAACCATCCGGTGGTATCTGGAGTTGATAACACAATTCCTTGAGACGGCAACGGCTTTTGGTTCAAATTTGGCTGGGATTTATTTTTTTGTCAAACTGCTTTAGTTTCCTTTTTTTATAAAATCAGTCAACCATCCGGTGGTATCTGGAGTGGATAACAAAATTCCTTGATACGGCAAAGGCTTATGGTTCGAATTCGGCTGGGACTTATTTTTCCTTTTTTAATTCCCTGTTTAATTTGCTTTTTTAATATAAAATCAGTCAACCATCCGGTGGTATCTGGAGTGGATAACACAATTCGTTGAGACGGCAAAGGCTTTCAACCATCCGGTGGTATCTGGAGTTGATAACACAATTCCTTGAGACGGCAACGGCTTTTGGTTCGAATTTGGCTGAGATTTATTTTTTTGTCAAACTGCTTTAGTTTCCTTTTTTTATAAAATCAGTCAAGCATCCGGTGGTATCTGGAGTGGATAACACAATTCCTTGAGACGGCAAAGGCTTATGGTTCGAATTCGGCTGGGACTTATTTTTCCTTTTTTAATTCCCGGTTTAATTTGCTTTTTTAATATAAAATCAGTCAACCATCCGGTGGTATCTGGAGTGGATAACACAATTCGTTGAGACGGCAAAGGCTTATGGTTCGAATTCGGCTGGAATTAATTTTTTTGGCAAACTGCTTTAATTTCCTCTTTTTATAAAATTAGTCAACCGTCCGGTGGTATCTGGAGTTGATAACACAATTCCTTGAGACGGCAAAAGCCTATGGTTCGATTTCGGCTGGGATTTTTTTTGGCAAACTGCTTCAATTTTCTTTTTAAAAAATTAGTCAACCATCCGGTGGTATCTGGAGTTGATAACACAATTCCTTGAGACGGCAAAAGCCTATGGTTCGAATTCGGCTGCGATTTTTTTTGGCAAACTGCGTCAATTTTCTTTTTTTAAAAAAAATTAGTCAATCATCCAGTGGTATCTGGAGTGAACAACGCAATTCCTTGAGACGGCAAAGGCTTATGGTTCGAATACGGCTGGGACTTACTTTTTTTTTTTAATTCCCGGTTTAATTTGGTTTTTTTAATAAAAAATCAGTCAATCATCCGGTGGTATCTGGAGTGGATAACACAATTCCTTGAGACGGCAAAGGCTTATGGTTCGAATTCGGCTGGGATTTATTTTTTTGGCAAACTGCTTTAATTTCCTTTTTAAAAAATTAGTCAACCATCCGGTGGTATCTGGAGTTGATAACACAATTCTTTGAGACGGCAAAAGCCTATGGTTCGAATTCGGCTGCGATTTTTTTTGGCAAACTGCGTCAATTTTCTTTTTTTTTAAAAAAATTAGTCAATCATCCAGTGGTATCTGGAGTGAACAACGCAATTCCTTGAGACGGCAAAGGCTTATGATTCGAGTTCGACACGGACTTATTTTTCCTTTTTTAATTCCCGGTTTATTTTGGTTTTTTAAATAAAAAATCAGTCAAGCATCCGGT